TACGTCCTGTTGTCCGTTTGTGCCCCTTGCCTCTTCCATAATTTAAATTAGATTTCTAGATTAAAATTGTAGTTGAATTTAGGTAATCTTAGCGTTAGTTAGTTATTTGTTAGTTGATCTTAGCTCTAGTTGTTTAGTTATTTTTTTGAAGGAAATCCTTCAAGGGCGGGGGGAGATGGTTGCGCGGAAAACCATTCGCGTTTTTATTTTTGACGGTAGGAACTTGCTGAATCATTATTCCCTTCCTAAACGATATCATTCGTACCCTCCTATCGACACATCGGGGTGATGGGGTGGGAGGGGAAAGAAGACGATTCTAGAACATCGCGCAATCACCGGACCCGAGGATATATAAGACACGCGCGACCGACGCGCGCTCTTCTCTCTTCCCGCGCGCTCGTTTGGAAACACCTCACTAGTGGAAACCGCTTTGGCCTGGAAGCAGTCGAGCTCCAGGAACCCGCCTCACCTCGTGTGAGATATCGTCGCGCACCGCCTCTCTCCGGAGTGTTCCAGAAGTCGCTGTAGTGATCGACAGGATAGAAGAAACCCCGGTGAGTCAATATTCCTTAATTTACTGCCTGATTAATATTTAATAATTGTTTTAACCGTTCCAATTCTGTGTTCTCCTCATCAGGCAGGATTCCTTTCATCGATTTGGCAAGTAATAGTTTTAGTTTAGGGAAGAGCGAGTGCATTGTACCGCATGCTATAGTAGTCGCTTTTACGTAAGCGTAGAAGCAATCGCAAATACAGTCCACTTTAGTTAATATCTCGCGTAATAGGTTTGAGGTTTGACCGGGGAACTAGATTTTCGGCAGCCTTAAACACGTGGCTCCACCATTACTGGATGAGCTTTCTTACCGTCTGGAAAAAATGGGGTGTAACTTGGGAACGGACTAGAAGCATATGGCACTAGAATTTTACAAAAAATAAAAGCGAAAATTTTTAATTAAATAAATAAATTAAAATATATCGAGATTCAAATCATATCCACCCTACTTTACAACTTTGCAATAAAATAATAAATTTAGTAGGCATCTTATACCTTGTCACTTAATTTATTTAATTCAATATTTTTGTTTTTATTTTTTGTAAAATATCAGTGCCATAAGGCTTCTACTCCGTCCTACTACACCTTATTTTTTCAAGACGGTAAAAAAGGTCATCCAGTACATATATATTACATTTCCTATTTTTTTTCTATTAGATTTTCTAATAGTGATAATAGGATATAACCGCTTGTACAAAATACGGTTGGCAGCCATTCTATTATGTAATATAGTATACTATGTGTCATATAAATTTGATTAAGATCTGCCCAGTAGTTTTTTTAAATTATCCTTATTAATGCGTATTTAATTGACTTCGACTACATTGGTCATGTTCTCCTTTTAATTATATTGAAGTCGGTTATATAAAATTTTTGTGTATAACTTGTGTATAACAGAAGTTTGTATAAGTATAAACAGTAGGTAATAGTCGGGAAGAACGCACTCTTACTGTACAACCTGATTACAGTATACCGTATGCATGGATTATTAATTATAATGTGGACCTACTATAGACAGAAAGCGGATAGCGTGAAGCTAATTAATTTGCAAGTACAGGCGGGAGCGAAAATTGCAGCCATTAAATGTTCCGCCCGCACAACATTTGTTAATTTATACGGGTATTAACAAATGTTGTGCGTGGTTTAACGCTGTTTTTGGATTAAGCACACGTATTTTTACTAATGTGACCCAAATAAATGATACATAAAATGATTCTGCTTCCGTTTCCAAAAACCTATATGGAATATCTACACCAAAATAATATATATTAATATCTTTTAACGTGTCCAGTTGATATAGTTCATATTTTACACGCTGCTACATTTAGAGATGATTTTTCAATTCTCAGTTAAACATTTTTCATAGGACAAAATAAAACACCAACAAATTAAAAATAAAAGAGATTGTTTACATACATAATCAGTTAGGTTATAATTTATTTAATAACTTAACTGGCGATTGAAAAATCAGTCCTAAACTTTTTTTTCAACATATTATTTAAATGTATTAAGTGATACCTATTTCATAATTTGTATGTTCTGGATAAATATTCAATAACAATACAATAGAAATGCATGATTGATTATCAAAACGCAAAATCCAATAAAATCCTTTCAAAATTACTTAGCCTCTTGAAGTTTCTTTATTTAAGTTGATAAAAAGATCATAAAGCGGTGCCTATTAAATTAATCCGCTTCTTAAATCAAGTTCTAAATTTTTGTAACACCATAGCAGTTGAATTCGCAGTAAAATCGCCCGATTTTAACAGTCACCACAAAACAGAGAGCATTGTACGTAGAGGGCGAGTAATTTTCCGCTCACCAGATGTCGCTAGTAGGAACTGAAGTGAAGTTATTTGCTACATAAGGTCACCATAAGTGAAAATTTCAACTTTAAATAAAAGTATTATCGGTTTTTTAGGGTATATACCGACATACACAATACAATGTCTGAGTGGTTGCTCTATAATTATTTGTAATTTTTTTAATTCTTTTATCTTTAGGAATACCCATGGAATACACTACATACATACTACATACAAATTACAATCGTTTCCAAATTCCGCATGCAAATTATTTAGAAAATGCCAAATTGCACGCTATTTACAAATAAATATGTATTAAAATTTAAACGATTTTTTAATGATCATCTTGAACATTAATCAAAAGTCTAAAATGTGTAAATTTATTCAGTCTGTAAACACAGCGAATCGGGTTTGGCTACGCCAAGCCTCGTACAAAATAAAGTTGACAGCCATTCTATTGTGTATTATAATATTCTCTTGATCTAATTAATATAAAATAAAACTGATTTTTCAAGCCAAATATTTCACCTCATTCCAAGTGGCGCCGCCTTGGTGGCAGATAAAGTTGTAGAAGCTCTTATTAAAATAATATGAAATACTACATTCCAAACCACCTTCACTTTTATATTTATTAGAGCAACTATTTTGCAAACAATTTTTCAAATTTCAATCTATACTAGTACGCTGAACTGGCTATTCTCTACAAAACGTTTGTGCCGATTTGAAGCGCCGCTATTGACTGTACTGGGAACTAAATTTGACATAATTTGCAAATTCCGTTATTTTGCTCAAAACGTCTAAGATTATTTTAAAGCTTTAAACAAGAAAAATAGAGTTGTGTAGTTTGGTTATGTTTCGTATATTAATATGATAAAAGATATTTTTGGTAAAAATGATAATGTAAAATTCGTTATCAGAAGGGAAGTGTGGTGGTAACATACAGGTAAGAGAATTTACAGTTTATAATTAAAAATTAAAATTATTTGAAAACATGGGCTCTTAAAAATCTGTCACTAGTCTTATTGAATGTAATTACGAACATGTTTAGCTTTATATTACCTATTTTTAATAAAGAATAAAATTCAATAAAGTTAACGAGTTCCTTTTCGATAATACTTATCGATGTTTTTTCTTACCAATATCTGTTTACAACAATGAAAGTCGCTGACAACAGATAATTATCAAATATTTATTAATTTATACGTCTTCAACCGACTCTATACTAAAACTGTGACTGAAAAGCATAAAGCCTCCCTCCCGTGTGACCTCTTTAATGTAAGTAATTTAAAGTTTGTAAAATTTTACTTGTACCTATAGATATTGTTGAAATATTGTATTGTTACGAGGACTAAATGAATGGATAACAGTAAATTCTTTACAAAATCATATTTCATTATTTTTATTTTGTAGTTACCTACTGTAGTTTGTATTTTTTTCTACTCATTGGACCTTTTTAAACCTTTCGAATAAACCATACCATACATAATGATGAACCCGGAAAAAAACCTGCTCTATATTTACGAAGAAAAACGTAGACAAACGAAGCGCCGATTTTTGTTTTATATGACTCATATAATATGAGGTATAAAACTTGTATCTCTAAGATATAAGTATTAATTTATATATTTATTTATTGTATGGCTTTATATTAAAATGAAACATAAATAGAATGGTGGGCTCGGGTATAGAATTTTTATCGATGTATTTTGTCACACTGCCTGTCTCTATTATTACTTCCGTGGACGCTCACTTCTGCTATTAGTGCCAAAATGGCGAAAATCAAATCACTTTATTATGTCACGGTGTTTAGCCGATCCAGCATACTTGTATAATACCTAGAGGTCAGTGGAGTAGAGATGTATACGATTATATAGCATAAATGGACGAGTATTCATATGATGTTCGCAACTTGTATTACAGTACAGCTGTTATAAGAAAACGGATATAGAATCTATTCTAAAGGGTTTTAAGCGGCCAACCACCTATTTAACACAGGTTGCGCATGCGACGCATATGTCTCAGGTTCAAATCGTCGCCAGTGTCGCAAACCACTCCTAGAACAAGATTAAATGTATTTGACATTAACAATTATATACTTCTATATATATAAATGTCCGAGAAACATCTTTTTGGAAGAAAAAGGGGGAGATCTCTCACTGGGCAGTGTTCAGAAACAGGGTCGTGCAGAAATTTTGATAGCGTGATTTAAATTTCAGTTAGCTACAGCCATGTATTGTGACGACAGCGCCGTCACAAGTTTTTAAAGCCAATTTTCTTGATATTTAAATGACGATAACATAATGTTTTCAAAATATGAACTTTAGAATCTTATTTGAATGTAAATATTTGGGTAATAATTGTAATAATACGCTTAGACATATTTGGGTTTATTATAAACAGTGGTTTATACTTAATCCAGGTTTAAACCAGAATCCGTTTTACAAAAGACATTTCGCGGTAATATGCGAATTAAAATGTAATGTATGGAGTTTGATAGCGAATGTCAAATTTCGTGAAGCCAGTGGTGGCACAATTAAGATCTTTAATTAGTACTCTTTTTAAACTACAGTTTAAACCCAAGATCAATAGACCACTTTTTGTGATAAGACGGTTTAATTATTTTTCTACGAAATACATCTCACCCATCTGACCCAGTGCCGTCGTCGCTGACGTTGCTATGCGTGTCGAGCGAGTTGTCGGGTGCGTGCGAGCGCCCGCTGGAGAACACGCTGAGGTCAGCCGTGCTCGTCACGCTCGTGTCAGCCAGGGAGCGCCTCGAGCCGAGCGCCGAAACAGAATCCTCGCAACGAGCGCCGCTCGCAACGCCGCTGTGCTCTGCAAAGTTTGCAGCTTCATCATATTATTTTGACATATTATTTTTGAAAATTTAAAAATAATGAAATTTGATTTTTGCATGGAGTCCAAGGCGCTACTTTGTAATATTGAGATATTCTAAATCCACAATGACGACTTGTAAATTAATATTATTATTTACTACCGACCCGCCCGGATTCGCCCGGGTAAGATCTATTAATGAAGCGTCATTTACATTTAAGATAATGAAAGAAAATTATTATTTTTTTAATTTTTCGGTTTTTAATTTCATTCATTCGGTTATTAACTTCTCAGCTCAATATAAGGCAGTTTCTTTGATATTACAGACACACACATAAATTTTATTTATGTGTAGTAGTAGTGTGATATGATTTTTTTTGTTGATCAATTGGCAGCTGGAAAAAATATTCATAAATCCCAGAAAAAATGTATCAAAATAAAACATTTTTTACTTTACTTTACGTTATCGATGTGAAAAACTCTCATGTAGGATATGAGATAAATTATAATAAATAAAAGACTGAAAGATAGTAAAGTGTAGGTATGCATTAAATAAGTTCGAGAAGGTTGAATTTTATTGCAACAGATGTAAATTAGATGGTAAATAGAAGTAAATCCGCACTTCAGTTTGCAATAGATAGTTTTACTCGCAGTGGTGTCGTAGGACGCGACAAAGGGAAATGAAAAGGAGATGACCGGCGGCATAATCCTGATAACAACCCTTAATAATAAAAATATGTAGTCGCCAAACCCCCTACAAAGACTACCAACGAGAGAGTGGCCTAAATCATTATAGGGAACCTTTATTAGCGTGAAAAAATTAAATAAAAATCATAGATGCCTGGTATGCCAGAAGAAGCATAAAAGCAAGTTGAATGCAGTGGCGATGCGATCTCTTCGTAAAATGTGTGGCGTTACCTTAGCCGACCGAAAGCGAAACGAAGAGATTCGCAATATGGCAGGATTGAAAGATGACCTTATCACAAAAATTGATCGGGGCGTACTCCAATGGTTTGGGCACGTTGAACGAATGAGTGAAGACCGAATGGTGAAAAAAATATATAGAGCGAAAGTAAATATTAAAAGGTGTCCAGGTAGACCGAGACTAACTTTCGAAGACCATGTGAGCAAATTGCTCGAAGAGGGGAGGGTCAAGAGTACTCGGATACCTAGACGTGCATGTATGAAGAAGTTAATGAACCTGAAAGAAGCGAAAGAGGTATGTAAGGATCGTGACACTTGGCGATCTGTTCTCTCTGGCTACCCCGTTAAGGATTGTGCGTGAAGATAAGTAAGTAAGTAAGTAATAGATGCCGTCGGAGATTGGATACCGTCAGCACCCAGATTGGTCGCAATTTGTACAAGAAAGGTATAATATAGTAATTATTACTCTAGTAAACAAAGTAACGCCTTTTCTCATAAAAATGATTTAAACATTTAAGCTTTAGACGTAACGTACATAGTCTTAAAATAGTGCAATTAAGAAGTTAATGAGTGCAACCAATTACAAATACTTGTATTAATTATTTTTGAAGCATTAAGAAACAAATACTGCAGTACCTACTTGTAAATATATATACTATAAAATAACCTTAGAGACCAAAAATACTAATAATAGATGACCAATTTATGTAGGAGTATTTAGTGTGGGAGGTAAATAGATACGAGGAATAAAAGCAAAAGAACTGTAAAATTATAGGTATTCAAAATTGTTTTTCCTTCTCATTTTTTTCATAGAAGTGTGATCTAACGAGAATGGGGCTCACCTGATGGAAAGTAACTACCGCCGCCTATGAATACCAGGGAGGGCCTTTTAGAAAGGAGTAAGCTCTTTTCTTGAATGTTCCTAAGTCGTATCGGTTCGAAAACCGGTGGTAAACGTTTCCACAGAGGGGTCCCCCTTAGTAAAACTCACCATTGTACGTTCCCCCAGTAAAACGTACAGTGGTGGTCCACCAAGCATCCAGTTGATGTAAATGGTATCGTGAGTTTTGTGCGGCGAAGATGCGATAGAAGACGCAAAGGCATGCAACATCCTTTTGCAGGGCCTATTAATCGAGCCGATCAATAGGCCACGGTCGTGGACGATTCGAGCCGCTCTGCGCTGGATGCAGGCAAGTGAAAGGAGATGGCACTGGGGAGCCCCAGCCCAGAGATGGGAACAGTATTGTTAGGCCGAATCTGCGCCTTGTAAAGTTGCAGGCGGTATGCCGGCATGAAATACTGTCCCGCTCTGTAAGCACGCTAAGCTTTTTAGAGGCCAATTTGGCCTTCTCATCCAAGTGACCACGAAACTGCACATCAGTCGATATGTCGACGCCGGGAATTCCGATACTGGCTGAGGGAACAAATGAAGTGCCTTGGAACTGAGGAGATATGACAAAGGGGTTCTTTTTAGCGGTAAATGCGCAAACTTGTGTCTTCTGGGGATTGAACTGGACTAGATTTAGTCGCCCCCAATCAGAAACTTTGTTTATCAAAGACTCAACTTCAGACACAAGTTTGCACCAGTACTCGGCGACGTTATCCCGAGAAATATTAACACGGCCGGTATGTAGAGCATCACCAGTGCTGTCATCCGCATAGCAATGAATGCTACCGGTTTACATCATATCATTTGATATGCAGAAGAAACAGCGTTGGTAATAGCACGCAGCCTTGTGGAACACCAGCAATAATAAGCTTATAATCGGAGCATGCACCGTCTACTACGATCCTGATGCATCGATCTGCAAGAAAAGTGGTGATCCAATTCCACAATTTGTCGGGAAGGCCATAAGATGGAAGCTTCTAAAGAAGCGCTTTGTACCAAACCAGAACGAAGGCCTTCGCTATGTCCAAACTAACCGCCAAAGCTTCCCACTTGGACTAGACCGCCTGCGCCCGTCAGTGTGTTAGGTAAACAAGAAGATCACCAGCTGAGCGACCCTGAGAGAAACCGTACTGGCGGTCACTAATCAGCTAGTGCTCCTCGAGATACTGCGTGAGCTGGCAGTTAATGATTGACTTCATTATTTTCGAGAACAAGGAAGTGATGGCGATGGGTCTGTAATTCGGATCAGAGCGGTTACCTTTTAGAATATATTCTCACTGAACGTTTTTCAGATCGATTTGTTTTTTTTTATCTGTCGAAAAAACATTGTTAATTTATCTCTCTGATCAAAATACGTAGTATATTTACTCGCAAATTTTTCTCCGAAAGATCTTTTTATTCAAAGAAATAAGTAATAATCGCTGGCGGCTTAATCTAGGCTAATCAACCCTCTAGGAACTATTCGACTAAAACTTCACCTCGTTCTCGTTACAAGGGTCCAAATCAATCCCGCGGCATTACGCTATGCGTCGCTACTTTTACTGCAGTGCGAGCATTCTCAACATCCATGCATTCTGCAAGTTGTTTCTTTATTTAAAGTTCACCTTACAGTGCTATTTTTCCACTATACCATTAATGTATTATTAAATGCAGATATAAAAAGTAAACTCTTTCCCCCTTCCCAACACTCTCATTTCGCGACTTATTGACCCTCCCTCATAATAGGTGTGATAAAAGATGACTCCGACGTGTTACTGACGCAAATGCTATCGGACATCATTGTTGAATCCTTTAAGAAGAAAAAACATGAAAAAATTGTGTACCTATTCCACTTCCATTTGACCCCTGCTTTGTATATATTTACTTTCGTTAATAGTAATTATATATTTAACTTCAATAACGTCTACATAATAAATATTCAACACATGCAAATATAATCTATCGAAATGGTACTTACCTGCAATATATGTCGGCTACGGCAGATACGTACACTCAAAACACGTTTAAAGCGAACAAATCAAACTGTGCCAACAAGCGCACATGCAACACTAATGAGCTCACTAAACAAATAATCTCTGCTCATACCTTGACGGAAATAAATCAATATATAAAAATAATTGTCTTATTTATTTCTTAAATAGGTACATCATTAACATTAACAGATCACTTTATATCAATGTTTCGTCGTATACTGCCTTCTAAATGTTTCACGTCTGACAAGATAACTTCTCGATTTGAGATCGATCTTGCAATTAGGACTCAGGGTGGGAGACTCCAAGTGGATGTCCATGGAAGCTTGGGAAGTACGGAGAGGAGCACCGCAAGCAAGAGTGTTGTCTGAAGTAAAGATTTTCTTAGTGAATATTAAGTCATGTAATTGTTAAAAATTTAAGCAATCGCTCTTTAAAATAACCGGCAAAAACTTCCAATAATTTGTCATTTTAATTGCAAAAAAGTAAATAAGAAAAATCTATAATATTGTTTACATATATTTAAAACTAAAAATATATATTCGTTATAGAAAAACACATCGTTTTTGATTAAGTAATATTATTTAAAAAAAAAACTATTGTTTCTCAATCATGCACATGTAATTCTACTTTATTGTTAATTTAATTGTGATTAATCTAATTGAATAGTGAAATGTGCCTTAACAATGTATTATATACATCGTGAACTACAAAATTAAAGCGAATTATTTTGGTAAACGAACAAGTCTACCGACGATTTCTATTCGAAAACGTACCTATATGTTACCGATTTCAATATGTATTTCTACTGAATAAATCTAGTGATGTTCCTCAAACCACCACGGGCGGCAATACTAAAATAAAACGAAAATCTATAAATATTCTTCCTCTACTAATTTAAATTTAATTTATTGTTTCTACTCATATTAAGCTTAAGCGGATGTTTGAAAGAATTATTTCACTGTCTAATAAAATACAAAACAATTTGAAATACATTTAATAAGTATATAAGCCATCAACGTTATTGTCTGTTATCCAAGAATGATGTTCGAACTTACGTCTAGCGTATAATAAAAACAAAATAAATATTGCAATAATATGCGATACAATAAAAATACTTAATGATAGGGGTGGGCTTATGTAATTGGATACTAAAACAAATTTAAATCCCTCAAGAAACGAGCAGAGATTCATAAGCTAATAATTTAACGAGGAAGAGATTTATACGATAATACTTGATTTTTTAATTTTGCATTAAAAAATGTTGCTTGGATATAATGTCATTCAGACGTCATTCAAATATTGAATAACAGAAGTTGTTAATAATTTTAATAACTAAGTTATAACTAGAAAAATTTGTAGGAGATCCTAGACAATGCAAAAAGCGGTCTGTGCTTCTATTGAACCAAGGAGTGATTTTAAACAAATGAATATAATTTAAAAAAAAATTGTATGTTACTTTGACAACCAGAAAGCACTCCTCCGATCAAAAGAGTAGGCGTGTTAAATGCAAATATTGCTCGTGGTGTTAATCATGACATAAACCCACCGCCGTACCAACGAAAACCATGCTCAAACAAAAATTATAACTTTAAAATACAGGATATCAATAAAGACATGATATAAAGGTTATGTTCCAAAATAGAACCCAGTGTACTGTCCAATGCAAATGACGTCATGAATCGACTCTATACTGGTGATTTGTTCCAAAACATAGGACAGTATATAACGTCATACATTTGCGCCATTTGGAAAAGTGTTGGCGATTATTTTGTCATTTTGTGCTCCAAAAATCATTATATCCTCCTAATGGAGATACCAGCAATTATTCTATTTTTTTTTTGTATTTGAATAAATAAAAACAAATTCTGGCATGCTTCATTCAGCGCACACACAATTCAAAATTGTTTTATTATGGCCGCATATCCGACACAATATGGCGGCGGCACGCCAGTACAATATAGTGACAATTGATGACGTCATTTGTATTCGCCAGTACACTAAAAACGTTTCGGAACATACCCAAAATCTATCAAACGAAAAATTGGCAAGCAAATTAAACAGTGCCACCTTCAGGGCAGCGACACTGAGAATGATAATCAATTAAATAGTTATGATTTTGCAAAAAAAAAATAATAATCATTTTTTACTTTTATCTTTTTTATGTTTGAATCACGGGTGTTTTTTATCCTACAGCCAATTTCACGCAATACAAGTGGTGCCATTAAAAGTGACCAGTGCGGTTGCAAGCACTCATTTACAACATATTATATACACATTATCTATACAATCCTAACATTAATACTACTTCGTATCAAAAACTTATATCCTGGATATAATTTGCTATGAACGGGAAGTTGTGGAATAAGTTATAAATGTTATGCATTCTGTTAGGTAGGTTAAAATACAAATTAAATTATTAATAATTTAATTTACAATAATGAAAATTTATATTTTCATTAATTTGGCAGTTATGTTAACTCCAGCAACTACTTACACAAAATTTTCAATTTTTTACACCAAAATTGATACAACATTGGTAAAATTACTCATATAAAAGCAAAAGAACAACACACCAAACATTCACATTAATTGAAAATGAGGACCTGTATTCGATCTCGTTGCTACTCAATAAACATTCTTAATGACTTAAAAAACAGCTCGGGAATGTAATTTCAAATTATATTAGAGAATAATAGTGGATTGCTGTACAAGCACACAAACATTGAAACAAATCCAAAGAAGACCAAATGGGCGGTGACGATGAAGTGCAGAACTGAGATCAATGGAAGCTGGAAGTGTAGCTATGATAGTCATCATGGTTTTCATGACAAAAATCAATTATTATGAAGAAAGTAAAAACAATTTTTCACAGTATCTAATACTGAAATGGCAAAACAAAACTCACGAGAATATCCAATTTAATAGTAAGCCAGATTTACTATTAAATAGGCTATAACACATCATAGTAGAATTAATTAAATCTAGGGCACTTAAATCGTTTTCACTGTATAATACTTCAAATTATGATCAAAGTTAAGTTTTTCGTACCGTCAGCGTTTCGCTTGTGTTCTAATTAAATATTTTAGACTAAATATATGTTATGTCATGGTTGGAGCAAAAAATCACCAAATATACGGTATGGACTCTCCATTTTACTTTTTTGATATTTTGCATTTCAATTTTACTTTTTATTTAAACAAATTTTCTATTTTAAGATACATATGACTATCTAGGCTCATTTATCATTAAAATATTGTAATTGTATTTCAATAACGTACACAGCACAATATTAAATAGGCAAACATAATATTTATTCGCATAACAGACTGTTTGTGTTGTTGATTTCGATTGTATTATCAAGGTGGGGAGAGCGCGCACACTTTGCTTATCGGTAGGAACATAGAATGCTATAATACATACACAATAGAACGGGGGAGTGGGCGGAGCCACTAAAATGTCACTAACATGTCAATTCACACGTATAAATGTCAACACGAGATGTGTCTTGACGTAACAATCGTTTCCAAATTTCGCATGCAAATTATTTGAAAAAACGCCAAATTGCACCCCATTTACAAATAAATATGTATTAAAATTTAAACCATTTATTTAAATCATGATCCTGAACATTAATCAAAAGTCTAAACTGTGTAAATTTATTCAGTCTGTCAACAAAGGGAATCGGTTTTAGCGACGCCAAACCTCGTACAAAATAAAGTTGACAGCCATTCTATTGCGTATTATAGTATTCTATGGGTAGGAAGCTGCCACTGGTTTGTAGTTTGTTGCCTCTTAAGCTTACTAATCCATTGAGATATGTAGGTTACGCTAGTTCTACTACAGACATCCTCATTACGAAGATCTTTCACGCAAGAAAAACTCCTAGCTCATTTATCCATCGCTTTTAGCCGTTAGTTTTGACATTGTTAAGGCCTTCGATCGGGTTTGGCACAAAGCGCTTCTTTCGAAGCTCTCTTCTTATTGGCTTCCCGAGAAATTGTGCAATTGGATCACCAGCTTTCTTGCAAATCGGAGCATCAAGGTCGTTGTAGACGGTGCATGTTCCGATTACAAGCCTATTTAATGCTGGCGTTCCACAAGGCTCAGTGCTATCACCAACGCTGTTTCTTCTGCATATCAATGATATGTTGCAAACTGGTAACATTCATTGCTATGCGTGCTATTTATGCATCATACTGCTGATGATCTGTACACCGGCCGTGCCAATATATCGCGGGAAAACGTCTCCGAGTGCCGGGACAAACTTGTGTCTGAAGTCGAGTCTTTGCTGAACAGTCTCGGATTGGAGGCGACTAAATCTAGTCCAGTTTAACCCTCAAAAGACAAGTTTGTGCGTTAATCCCTAAAAAGAACACTTTTTATAGTATAAAGCCCGGTTTACATTTTGAGAAGTGACAAGTGTGAGTGACAATGACAAGTGCTTAGTGCGTGTGAACAGGCAGTGCAGTGACAAGTGACAAGTGCGAAATGAAAAGTAACAAGTGAATAGCGGCCTGCTCTATTCTCTGACAAGTATCTCTGCCCCGCGCTAACCTTGCTTTCCCCTCAGTCACCCACCGCCGCCCCCGTTCTAGCGGCGACGTCAGAACATACTTGTGTTGGTTATAATAGTTATTAAATAAAATATTTTTGTTATATATATTGTATACATACTCGTATTTATAATAATTTTGTTTTATTACGAAGTGGTCAGATAGCAATAACATTAAATTTGTCAAGGAAACACGAATGTTTATACAATATTAAATCGCTGAATTAAAAAAATAAAATGATGCGAGACGCTGCTATGCCCTCAATATCTCAATCAATGGGAATGGCCGGTTTCGGCGCAAAAGAAGTAGGTATATGCGAAGTTAAGAAGCATTAAGTTTACATATTACCAAGAAAAGAAGAAAATTAAAGACTCCTGTAGGTCAGAGCTGGAGCCATATTATTTTCAGGCTTCTTGTTATAGCTTTAAGACACATTTTTCTCACTTAAGCTATTTTAGGAAATTGGTGTGCACCAATATCTTTGCAATAAGGCACTTCACACATCTTTTTAATCAAAAAAAGGTAAAATTGTATGATGAGATACCAGTTTTAAACTTTAAAGCTGTGCTAGCGCCTCTTTGACAATTACCAACCCAATTTCACACTTGCAGATTTCACATAATAATGACATCCAATTGCCACATGTGTGAACACCAACTTGCTACCCATTGTCACTTGTCATTGCCGCTCGCACTTGTCACTTCTCAAAATGTAAACCGGGCTTAAGGGTGACAAACGAGCACACAGTCGATCTGATGGAAAGTGGATGCTGTGGCCTATAGACATCTACATTTTTAACCTCGCTTAAGAATCAAAATATAGATGCGTTGTCACCCTTGAGGACTAAGATGGAATGCCTCGATTCTAGTAAAACGGGTCTCCGGTTCTCTACACTCAGCATAGGAAACACAGAAGCATTAAGCTGCTATTTTACGCTGGTATTCTGTGAGAGCGTTGTACTTCCCCGGTCATGCTACATAATAGCTGCATACTACATAATAGATGCAGTGTGGCTCTACCACGTCATTTGTCGTATCTCCTCAGTTTCAAGGCACTCTCTTTAGTTTAGTTTAGTTTACGAAGGGCAGTTTTTCGCAATTCTACCTCTAAGCGCGTATTTTACGTGTGGGCAGGAATAATGTGATTATACGAGCCATGATATCTCCCCGAAGAAGTTCAACAGTCATTTGATGTTGCAAGCAACTTCGGGGAGCGATACTGGCGTGGCGAGATGTTTAGCCCTTTATGAAGCGACTTCTGGACATGTCAGCAACACGTGAGGCGCCGTTTCTTCCTCTCCCATGCATGCTCTATACAGGGGGCTATCTGTAACACCTATGGTAAACAAATGTTTGTCAAAAGAGCCTGTGATAGCACTTGTTACTATCCTGATCTGTGGCTTGTTCAGTCTCATTAGAACCTTAGTTAGACTGATTATTTCAGGCAGGGCCTAGCTTATCTACAGTCTACTAAATTTTTCCAAAGCTGAGCGTGTAAATTATTGAAGTATCTACGTACCAGTGAACGAACGTAACCAAAGTATAGGTTCCGGCCCTATAATGTCATTGTGACACAGTGGATCTAGAGGCAACGATGCAGCAGCTGGCCAGAAGGGAATCGGCTCTGGCAAGATCCACTGTGTCACAAGGGACACAGTGGATCTAGAGGCGGAGGAGATTTTGATTGTCCTTGTGAACCTTTTTGTTGTATCTCCTCAGTTTTAAGGCACTCCCCTTGTTGCCTCAGCTAGTATCGGAATACTCGGCGTCGACATATCGAGTGACATGCAGTTTCGTGGTCACTTGGAAGAGAAGGCCAAATTGGCCTCTAAAAACTTTAGCGTGTTTAGCAGAGCGGGGCAGTATTTCATGCCGGCACACCGCCTGCAACTTTACTAGGCGCAGGTTCGGTCTCACATGGAATACTGTTCCCATCTCCGGGCTGGGGCTCCCCAGTGCCAGCTTCTTCCATTTGACCGTATCCAGCGCAGAGCGGCACGAATCGTCGACGACCGAGTGCTTTCCGATCGGCTCGATTCACTGGCGCTACGAAGAGGTGTTGCATCTCTTTACGTATTTTATCGCATTTATCACGGGGAGTGCTCTGAGGAATTGTTCGGATTAATCCTAGCCGCCCAATTTCATGAACGCACTACGCGGCAAACATCCCGATAGCATTCACACGACTTGGATGCTTGGCGGTCCGCCACTGTACGTTTCACTAGGAGTTTTCTTCCGCGTACGACCTCTCCGTGGAATAGTTTACCACCGGCGATTTTTCCGGACCGACACGACCTAGGGACCTTCAAGAAAAAGCTCTCAAGAAAAGTAGTCCTTTCTAAAAGGCCGGCAACGAACCTGCAAATCAGGTGAACCATATGCTCGTTTGCCCCCTCTCCTATAAAAAAGCTCGCTGAGCGTCATATTTTGTCCAGAAGTGAAGGTGTCTCATGTCATGTCATGCCATGTCTCAGAATTATATGTCATATAGATATAACACTTTACTTTGACTTGCTACATCATATTGGCAACAGATTATTATATTTAGATAATATTTTTAATACATGACGTGTCATGAATAATGTAACATTGATATCATTATGTTGAATAATGATAAACGTTGAGGTCTTTAAACTTGAACTTCTTACTATTTCACTAAAATAAACTAACTATCGGGATCGGGAATGTAATAATGGCCGTAAAAATTAAGTGCATTGTATATAAAATGCTTATGTTATGATAGTTTCAAATAATTATTATTTATGTTTCTTATATTTTTGTCAAAAAATTATCAAATCACTATAAGTCAGTTACACTGCTGTCTAAACAAAAATAGCTACAAAACTGTTAAAGCTTTAGTAGAAAGGTATCTGGTCTTATATAAAAATAGGAAATAAAAAAAATATTAAAATTATTCATAGACTTTAGAGACAGCTTACAATAAAACAAGCTGAACGCAATGAGCTGCTTCTTGTTTGCAAAAGATTATAGTTCTAAGTTTTATTAAGAATTGTATCTCATTTTTCGTATCATCGAAAGAAGCCAAACACACTCTTTAAAACCTGTCCGAACACTGATTCAACTATATAGACTCAAATATATTTCTGGAAATAGTGGAAATTTTTGCATGATGTTAAGTAAGCGCCGAAAAGTCATTACTAAACATTCGATGCTGAGGATTAAGATGAAAATATTAATTTGCGTGTAGTCTATAATATATAGGCTAGACTGATATTCAGCGAAGAAATAAGTAGGTTAGTACCCACACATACTAACTCCTGGACAAAAGGTAACCTTGCAACTTAAAGACAAAACAAAGTTTTAGCCTCGTTTCTTTACATAACATATGAACTTTACACAAGAAAAAATTCGACCGAAATCAAACTTTTGATGAACAAAAGCAGTTGTCAAAAATATTCCTAAAGATTTTAAATGCAATAACGACAAACCTAATATAAAGTCCGATTTATTTCCAAAAGTGTCATTTTATATACAACTCGCCGCATCACATAACAAAATTATGCTGACTGCCTACGATATTTTTCACACACACACATATATATAATATGCTAAATTTATGACGCAAAGCAAACCGGATCAATTAAGTTACGAAACATTTATATCTCGTTTATTCATACCAGAAGAATATTATGGAAACACACTACATAAAAGAGAAAGTGACAAGCGTCAAATAGTAAAGACGATTGAAGATTGATTTAAATATCAATGACTATTTGTTCAAAAACCAAATGTTACAATAATCCAATTTATAGCCGAAGCATCGCACCAATTTATTGAATGCACTTTTGTCTTATAATATAAATACAATATGCTATAGAAGTGTTAACTACTTGTACTTGTACATCACTAAATATCTAAATGTCTTTACAATACATCATAATCGACAAATTCCTAAAATTCGTTAAATGATATCTAAATGCGAAACGAGAGACGACAAAGCGTATATTCCCGATATAACAAATATTTTCACATTACATGTTATGCTTGTTCTACCTAGATATACTAATTTCATAGGTAATGGCAATTTGGCGTGGTTCGATAAATTATTAAGACCAAAGCTTCTTAAACTTTTTGCTTGTTTCCCCCTATTAGACTTGTTAGACTGGTTAACATATTACCTTAAAAAGTTAGGTTCAGTGAGTCATAACAGTTTAAGAAACTCTTGCTTATTGCATGCAAGGTGAGGACAAAATTAACACACAAATAAAAAGGTAGAAATACGGAAAATTAAAAGAATCTACAGACCATACAGCGTTATCACAATATTTCTACCTTCAGCCAATCGCAATCCTTCTCACGATAACCCAATCGCTCTTAAAGTGATGGTGATAATAGTAGTCTAAACTAGTTGTTAAGTTCAGATCAGGAATTTAAAAAACCAAAATCATTTAAGAAACTGCAAATAGTTTATCATAATATGTACATATCATAAGCTCACACGGACATGACGCTCATGTAAACGAGTGGAAAATATAGATATCTCGCCGACAGTGTTACAGTTTAGAGATATAGTTAAATATAGGCCACGTTAGATTGCCTTCGTAGTAAATAGTATTTAAAATGACATTATACCATCAATTTAGTAGCAATGTGTTATCGATTATCGTAAAAGGATATCTCATAGATGTGTGAACTGGTCTGAATCAAGACTTTCGTCGGAGGTAGTACGCGAAGTGGGCGGAGACGTCTCCAAATTACCTGAAACTGTATCACTCTGTGAAACGCGTAGCTCTTGCAACTCCAGTGCTGCTTTTTCACGTCTGTAATAAAAATTACAATATTAGAAAATAATGCACTGGACAACAACTGCAGTTGTTTCACCACCACACCGCACCTTAAAATTACCGTTGCTCTGGCCTGCTTCTCCGTATCGGAAAAGTTTTCCGCACGCTGACCAATTTTTGACTTCTTATCCGGCTCCACAAACATGCCAAGTTGTCGCTTTGGTAACTCATTGGCAGGCGGCTGCCCAGGGTAATCAAGTTTGGCTCGTTTTAACTCTTCCATAGAACGCTCCAAGTGGTTAATCACAATATCATCTTCGTAGCCGAAATCTTTATGCAACTTTACCTGCCAATAAATATGTATTTGTTACATTTTATTATATACAATTTATTTTAGCTAGCTAAAATTAATAGGCACACTTACTTGAATATAATTTACAATCAAATCCATGTCATTAAGCTTCATTATCGCCTTTTTGTGTAATTTTAATATTGTATATGCCATTGCTGTTATCACTCTTTCACCATCAAGTAAATAAATATCCCATACTCTCAAACACAGGCTAAAGGGCACTCGTTCCACAAAACATACGAAAAACCATTTAAGAGAATATAATATTGCATCTAAACCAAACTTGTCAAAATGATGTTTCAGTTTCGGCATAAACTTTGTGAGGATCTTATCATGATGTTCTAGGAATCTCGTTAGCTTTGGAAAGCCTTCAATATACAGTCCGTGCATGGCGTACCTCTTATCAGACAAGAGTACTGCAAGTGCCCAAAAGGCATCCTCTTCATCCATATACATTAACAAAACTCCTGCCAAACCAGACATGCCTTGGCAATAACCAACTTCCGAATTATACATACTATATGCACATAGTACATTAAACAACGAACACTGCTTCTCAGAATACCTCTCCCTATAAAACTGATGCTCACGAAATTGTCTATTAACATCTGAATCAATTTGTCTTACATCAGTTGACCATTGTTTGGCTAATTTAAGCATCTCTTGGTATTTACCAACTTTTTCAGATTTAATTCTATTAATATCCAACAGCTTACACCATACTTTCATGCGTAGAGATAATGGAATGCCTTTGTATATTCGCCTATGCAATTTTTCCTTGGTTGTTGGAGAGTCCCAATTTGCAAGCATTTTGACCCACTTTTTTTCCCTTTCCACCTCGGTGGTGACTCTTTGCGATGCCGTTTTCTGCGGTAAGCGCTCATCGTGGATGAAACCATATCTGGAAATATTTTTTCAAATGAAATTATGCAATTTCAAAACAAAAAGGGGTAAATAAAAAAAATGTTGAGAGAATTTATAATATACAAAAACTTCTTTTCATTTGGTGGATCAGATATTAGTGCAGCTATATAATAAAATATTAGCCATTGGATGATATTAGGGCTATCATCTTCTTGGGTTTCCCCATATTTATCCTGGTTTAGGCAGTGTTCAGGAACACATTTTGGGTTCATGGAACTCCGATTAATTGAATGATATGTACTAAAACAACTTTAAAACAAACTTACATGGACACCTGTTGAAAAGGGAGATATTTTAACAAATATGAACAAGACTCAAAAGTAATAAGACTTTTTTATTTATATAAAAGGAACATGAACTTGGTAAAATGTAGAACCCTCTTAAAATTTTCAGATAAATATTAAGGTACCTTTTTATATATGATGACAACCTCATCTTGTCTGATAGGATATGCCTAGACTATGAAAAGGCTTGTCTACACTATCACAGTCTTAACTGCCCTTTTTTTTTTGAAGGAGAGAGCTGAAGTTTTCTACCTCCTCTTAATAGTAACACAATACTTAACTATTACTACTTCAGTACTCTTTGGGACTGTACTAAATGGGAGCGCAAGGTAAAAGACCTTGGTTATAGGGATGGGTGGGGGCCTAATATCGGAGCAGCAGTGAGTCGGAGATGGTGGTCTTGTCCTTCAAGAAAGACGACAATTACCTACTAAAGAACAACAAAACCGATTTCCCTTCTGAGCAGTTTACATTATGAATCATCTTGCATGCATACTTGAGGAATTCCAGTCTTCAAAACAAGCCGGTTTCTAATAAGACTTTGATAGCATGGTTATCCAAATACAGAACCAAATCACGAAACATGTATGAAAGAGGTATAAGACAGGGTTACATCAATGCGTTATCTCTGAATGCATCGGAAGATGTTTTTAAGGTACAGGGCTGGATGATACAGTATCAACATTATTCACTCACCTTTGACTCACCTTCGATTTACCAATGATGTAATTGTAATGGAGAAACTCAGCGGTAATCAAAATCACTCACTATGCTCAATGATGCCAATATAGTAACAGTTTCTCAATGGATAGGTTTTAAGATGAACAAGGACAATGGACAATGGTCATGTGTAACGTCCATATTAAAACAAAGTAATAATATACTCATTGATCCTAGTCACACTTATACCAGTATTTGTTAGCAGACTATGATCAAAGTTGTTGATGGGTATGTTTACGTATGACTAATTGTCCAACTAGATAATTTGTATAATAATTTTATGCATGGTATTTAGTTCCATGATATAATCTGTAACAATGATATCTGCAGTAGAACCAGAGTAACCAATATAGCCTGAGGGATGAGTGAACTGAAGTGGAAATGTTCCGGTCTTATAGCTCGATGAACCAAAAACCAATGGGGAAAAAGGTTTTAGAGTGGCACCCTCATACCAGTAAGCACAGTTGAGAGTGGCTCCCACCTCTAAATCAAGTCACAACTAGGTAAGAAGATCAATATAGCTAGCTGCCTTCTGCGAAGGGTCATATTAAACAGGATGTTAAATTTTTAAATAATAAACTCATAAATGTTGCTGTAATATACCGAACACTTTCTATTGGATATTGCACATATTTAATAAAACTCGAGCTAACAGAGAACTAGCAGAAAACACAAAATTCGGAAGGCAGAAAACTGTAATACAGCTTGTAAAAAAGTATCAGACGAGATCTTGGATTAAACATTATAATGCAAAAAAAAATTATGTAAAATATACCTACTGAAGCAATAACTTTGTTGGTAAAATTATTCAATATTGACTTTGCAGAAGTTTTGCAACCAAAATAAATATATTGAAAAGAGAAGACTTATGAGAAATATGATAAAGTTAAGTACAAAAAGAAGTACACAAAGCCACTAAATGCTTGTATCTGGCATGTCACTTGTTTTCTAGTTAATCCAAAAATTACTTATATATAGAAGCAACTACTAAGTATCACAGTACATTATTCGAAAAATATTCTCTATATACCATACAACCAATTGAGCATTGAAAATGAAATATACTAATGCTAAGCAAAGTGTTTTAGAAAAATGACATCTGTAAATATTAATGTGATCGATATTTTATGAACAACAACAAACATATATTATATCTTTAAAATGTTCATTGCCCTTGCCAAATGTAGGAGGATAATATGTAACTACCAGTACTGATTTTTTTCACAAGAAAGTCATCATTCTGGGAACATTTGCCCATTTTTAAACCATGCAATAAAGAGAAAGAGGATGGAATGTGATAATTTAAAATCAGCGACAGAGATTGCATGATTATGTGTATTTTGCTACAACCTTAAATCAAATCAATAAGATCATTTTAAAGATATATAGTATAAATTATATTGTATAATGAGCTAGCTGAGGCTTAAGAAATAAATTCAAAGGTTGAAATAATGGGTGCGTTTGGCAGAAAAAAGCGCTAGCAAGCACTTGTAAGCAAAATGGCGATCGTAAGCGGCAAGCGCTGTCAAATCATAAGTAGCTATTTTCCTCCAGGACACGATGTTAGTTTTAACGGGGGAACATAACCTAATTTAAATATATGTTTGTAAAGTATTCATATTAAAAACTTACCAATCATGAATTTTTAATAACATGTATATGTTTATTCATGTCATTATATTAATTAAAACTAATATTGCACAAAACAACTTATAAACTCTACTTCAAAACAAACAAATTAAATAAGCAAAATGGCGGATTGTGTCAGTGCTACTGAAGTAGGAATCGTGTCCTGGCCGAAAACTATTTTAGCGCTTATAAGCGCTTGCTAGCGCTTTTTTCTGCCAAACGCACCCAATAACTAGGTCGAGAATATTCCAGAGGATTTTGAAATGATAGCATTATGGTTGGAAGAATGGTACCAACCATAATTCTGCTATATTTCATATGGTGAGTGTAAAGATCTGGGACCCATTTTACTGACAATTGAAAGCATCCTTGTATGTTGTTTCATGATTTTTACACAACCCTAGTTGTTATGCTTCTAATAATATAGAAGAAGTTAGTTGGATACGCACAAAATAATATACTTATTATTTATAATATAATAATATCATATGCCATTTTATATGTGGTAAAGCCATGCTGTGGCTATATTATAGTTGTAGCACGAATGGGTCGGCTCGACCGGGGTATAACTACACTCTCACAGAATACCAGTGTAAAATAGCAGCTTAATACTGCTGTGTTTCGTATGGTGAGTGTAGAGATCTGGAGACCCTTTTTAGTGGAAACAAGGCATTCTGTTTTAGTGCTCAGGGGGTGACAACCCATCTGCGTTTTGATTCTTGATCGAGGATAAATGTAGATGTCTATGGACCACAGCATCCACCTACCATCAGCTGGACTATGTGCTTTGTTTGTTACCGTTATTTTATAAAAAAAACTATTTCTTGATTTATTGCATTTCCACTTTGACATAAGCCTTGGGATAAGACATTGACTGATTTTTAAAAATGATGTAATTTTACAACATCCACGCAGGCAAAGGTTTAGGCAAATGCTAGTTTGATAATATGATGCCCAATTAGCGTAACAATAAGCCATAGCAACAAAAAAACACAAGCTTGTTAAAAATTAAATGTCATGCTGTGTTTTACTAGTTTTTTAATGTTGTATTTTTGTTATTTTTAATTTTAATGAAAAGCATATACTGCATTTATGTATATTATGCTTAAATGAAAAGAAAAATCATATAAAGCATGTATTATATTATCTTCAAACACTTTGCAAAACTGCAATCTTAAAGAAAACCTGAAAGAATTATCTAATATTTCAGTGATGCATAGTGCAGGAGCAGTGGCACAGGAAAGGGTCCAGGACCATGATCCTGACGCCTTGGCAGAATCATGGTCCTGGGGTGACTGACTTTAGGGTGGTATTTTGGGTAAAGTCAGCTCCTAGCTTAACAGATGCTAACAAAATCACAAAAACTCTGAAAATGTTTTCTTACTTAATATCTATTTTTGATTGAAATATAATGAAAACTGTAGCATTAAAGTACTGAAAATAGACATAATGTGCACATGAACACACTTGCCAAGCATAGATATAAGTATACGAAATACACTTTAATCCTTTATATGTATTTATATAGTTATATGCTACAAAGATTATAAAATACTTTTACCGATTTTACATTTTATTAGGTAATTGCAAAACTGGAAGGTGTGAGGGTCAACTCTTTTGTCTTTGGCAACTACTGGCAGCAGCAACCAATGGTATGAATTGCAATGATTTTGAGCCAAATATGGGTTGTTCCATAAGTCTTTACAGATTTGTCCAGTCCTGCCTGATCCAGTCATCCCACTGTATGGATGACAACAAATGGCCTAAACTTGTCGAAGAAAATTCATACTTGAATACCCAAGAATGAGAATGTGAGGTGATAATCCCATCACTACGGGTCAACATCTAGCTTAGTTAAAAAAGTTTAGAAATCAAATCGTTGTACTCTAATTACAATAGACTCCGGTACAAAGTTGCTCTGTTACTGTGAATCTATAAGCTGATTGGGCAATCTAGTTGTGAGTGATGAGAAGTAACACTTTTACTGTAATGTTACATGCAAAAAATTATGATAGTCAAATATTAAATAGTTATCTTAAAGATAAAACTAGTCTATGGTCTAAACAAATATAAAATAACATAAGGAGAAACAACAACTTACAAACTGATAAAAACAACAATGTGGTAAAATAATAATATAGAAGCTACCAAAAAGCTACTCTCAAGAATGTAGCAAGTAATAATTTTAAATTAACATGAAATTGAAAGTAAAATTTTGTATTATTTATCAACAGACCAACACTCAAATTAGAGGGCACCCATATTGTGTACTGAATTTATTTTACACAGCAACATCTTCTAAAATAAAAAAATTCAGCTCAATTGGTTGAAAATAACTGCTTTAAAATTAAGTTGTATGATTTGACCTAACAAATATTGCAAGTTAAATAAAAGCTTTTAAAATAGAGGCATCACATCTAAAACACAGCAGATAGTTTAGTAGAAAACAAGATGAGGTAAAACTGAGCTTGAAAAAATAGGAACCTGCAAGTCATTAACCATTATACCATATAATCAATTGCCAAGCTCAACATATTAAAATTCGCAAAGTGATAGATAAATGTAAAACAAATTTTTATCAAATTAATTGGGTATATATGTAAACATCAAACTTTGTATTTTTTCTTATGTTACTTTAAACAGTAAATAGAAAGTTAGTCATTTTTGCAAATCAACTGACACTGCTTGCTTACAAATTAGACAAGCTTTCAACAAAGTTACTTTAAGTTTGTATGAAAAAGATCATCAACAGTTTCATTTAATAGTTTTAATACAAATAATTTCGCATAGCTGATTAAAGTATATTAAACTAATATTATTTATTATTATTTATTGACTTTTCAAAAGTCCACAGCCAGCTATAATTGAACATATGATATATCAAATGTCTATGCATGTTTTAATTTAATGTTGATCTATTTGACATCAAAAAAACATTACTGATAACGAAGATACCTGTCAGTTTTGTGATACTCTTCAAATTCTGGATCTTCCCAAGGGTCTATTTGGCCGACAAGATTTTCTCGACCCCGCTCATATCTCTGAAAGATACGCTCCCGCTCCTCGGAAGCACGTGCCAACAGTGCCTCCTCATTCATAACACAGCTTGCTTGTGCCACATTCCGAAAGACCTACGCGACCCACAATCCTTTTGACTGATGCGTAAGGACAGTGTCTTTTTCCTCTTATCAGGTATAAAATAAATTACATCTCAGATACTGCATTAAATTAAGAATTACTGATGCTCTTTATATTAATTAAGTAGATTCGATGTTAATTGCAAATATCGTAGGACGCTATAACAATTTGACCACACCACACCACAGACCATAATACAATTTGACACATCAAGGACACTAAGCACTAACAGTAAATAACATGAAAGACTAAAGTAAACATTAAGGAAAATATTAATTTTTCTAAATTAATTCCACGTGAATTTGTTTCTTATAAATAAAACATGACCCACAAAAAGTACGACAAACGACGTTTCCAAAGGACGTTTTGGGAAGTTTGCATAGAGTAGAGTAATATATACAGAAACGTTTTGGGACGTTTCTTGTTGATCGTCCATAGATTATTACCACAGAATATATATACCTACACAGAGTACTAAGAGGATACTACATACATTCAAACACAATCTAATATTTAAGAGTACTAACGTACATTCAAATATCTAATAGAAATTGAGGCCAGCAGCAAGCCACACACAGTCAGAATTACGTCTCGGAAAATCCGTTTCGAAATATCGTTTCCGGATTCTGTAAATACATAATACGCCTACGCTTATTTCCCTTCGGAATAACAAGGCTCAGTTGAGAGACGCCAGCCATTGAGTTCATACATTCTGCCAGCGAATATGGACGACGATTTTCTGATTGCGATTGGAAACGAATAGGAAAAACAAAGCCACCCCATTGTTGCTGTGTCATTGTTACTTGGTAAATCACCTTAACACACTAAGAGCCGACAAATACATAAGGAATTCCGTCACGGAAAATCCGTTTCGGAATATCGTTTCCGGATTCTGTAAATACATAATACGCCTACGTTATTTCCCTTCGGAATAACGAGGCTCAGTTAAGAGACGCTAGCCATTGAGTTCAGACATTCTGCCAGCGAACATGGACGACGATTTTCTGATTGCGATTGCATTGTTGTAGATTCATCACTATACGACTGAGAACCCCCCCCCCCCACTCCCTTATACCCTTCCCCCTTTGCGGAAACGTATGGTTTATGAGTAATGTTTATTTTTGTAAAATAATAATCTTACTTTTTACACAGGAATCTTGACCCAAAGTTACTTCTGCAAAAGCTTCGGCGCTGCAGGAAGTGTAGCCCCTTCACCCTTGCGTAGCAAATTGCAGGCAACCATGCTCACCACTGCAGTTTTGGCTCATTAGTCACCTTCGGCGACCAGTCCGCCACAGGTGCCCGCAAATTGCTATGGCGGGCGGAGGCTGCACTTCCTCCGCACCAACGGCTTTACAAAAACACTCTAGGGGTAGGGCAGACAAGACTACGTGGAGTTGGGGCGTGCTGATCCGTTTTTTTTTTCGAGTTTTGAAGCTGGGTACTACCACCACCATCACCACTTGCTTGTGATCCTGTAATTAATAAAATTAAAACTAAAGCGGAGCATGCAACTGTAAGACTTCAAGACACGGTAAGTTCATTCTGCGTAGATCGGACTAAAAGGATTAATAAAAAGCTGAAGATATTTCGAGTTAACTTCCCAAGTAACACAAGAAACATTTAACAAATGAATAATAAACTCTTACGAGGTAAACGGGTTTGTTTGTAGCAAGCAATACGACTTGCCCGTGGACATCGCACACCAATACCTTTTGTGGGCGGCATCTTAGCGCATAGTGTTATGATACGTCGGCTATCTTTCGGTTTAGCGATAAATCCGACGCATCTTGTAGTTCTGGTCGATGGAGGTATGTGGGTGGTGATGTCTGCTAGGATTGTATGGAGGACCTTGAGATGATAAAAGCCCGATGATATTCGTATTGTTACGCGCTCAAATCGACAATACACTAGCGCCATCTAGTGTCAGGAACGAGAGCGAGGGGAGCATTGAGAAAATGACATCACAAATCACTCAACCGACAGCGCCTAGTCGAAACTCGAACGCTCGGTACCTTGCGCGTGTTTACTTGAACATTCTGGATATTTCTTTGCTAATTTAAATATATAGGCGCTGCAAGATGCGATCGAGGCAGAGTTGAAGTCGGCGACACAAGCGAAGCTTCGGAGCGGAATTAAGTGAATTAGTGTGTTTAATTATTAGTGTTTTAGTTTTAATTTGTGTAAAGTAAATTAAAGTGTTAATTTAGGTAATTTTATCGGCAATTTTTATTGTCACGAACCTCAAGCTCGTAACAATTGGTGTCAGAAGTGGGATAAAATCATGCCGATTTTACCTAAGGAGGAAACGGAGGGTGTCCGTACCCGAAATCAACGCCAGCAGGAGACGGACCAAAGAAGATTTGGTGGTGCAACGCCGCAGACGTCGGAGGGCCAGCCGCCGGCTGCAGGCCCGTCAGTAGCTCCTACATCTGCAGCACCCGATTTAGGTGCTCTGATGGTGATGCTGCAGGAACAGGCTCGCCGACAGGAGGAACAGGCCCGTTGGTTGAAAGAGCAGCAGGAGGAACAGGCCCGCCGACAGGAAGAGCAGATGCTCCTCGTGAAGGACATTCACGCTAACTTCGGGAAAGAGATTAGGGAGGTGAAGGATAGGGTTGCTCAACATGACAACCGCCTGTCGGAAGCTGAAACCCAAATCAAGGAAGCTAAAACCCAAATCGACCAAGTAAACAATCGGGTTGATTACGTGATGGCTGACGTGAAGAAAACGCTGGACGACCTCAAACTGGGGGATGGAACTACAGCTCCCGTAGTAGCTATTACACCTTCGCTACGTGGGTTCAAGGTGCCACCATTCGACGGGACTTCTTCCTGGTCAGCCTACAAAATCCAGTTCGAGGCTGTTATGAAGGCGAACGACTGGAATAAAAGTCAGGCCATGACTGCTCTCACACTAGGCCTGCGCGACCAGGCCTTAACAGTTCTGGAAGCTCTCGGCGAGGAAGTGACTTATGAGCAACTCCTTGAGGCATTGGAGGCGAGATATGGCGACGCTCACCTGGAACACGTCTTTCGTGCGCAGCTTAAAGATCGTGTGCAGCGCATCAACGAAAACCTGCAGCAGTGGGCTCTAGAAGTGGAGAAGCTGGTGCGAAAAGCATACCGGTCTGTACCTGCGCTCATTGAAGGGAACCTGGTGCAGACATTCATCGACGGCATCCGCGACCTGGAAGTCAGAGCTGCTGTGAGGCTCGGGCACCACGAGACGCTTAAGGACCATGCACTGGAAGTGGAAGCCGTGCGGCAGGATCATCGTTCCCATCGCGTCAGGGAGGTTGCAGCAGCTACAATTCGCGACCGCAACAAAGGATACAGCCCAAGGTGCTATGGCTGTGGGGAAAAGGGCCATCTTCGATCCAGCTGCCCTAAGCGAACCCTAGAAAGGGAAATTGAACGATCTCAGGAGGGTAGTGCGGCCAACAGCACCGCCCAGCAGCGGCAGGGAAACGAGTAAAAGCCAGAACTGCGGGGCGGGTGCTGGCTGATGTTAAAAGAGCCCCAAGGATCTCGATCTCACAAACCCATGATGGGAACAGCCTAATCATAAAGGGCGAGATCAACGAAATGCCGTGTAAGCTGACCATAGACACTGGAGCCTCTCGTACGGTTGTTAGTTCCCAACTTATAAGTCAGTTCCTTGGGGACTCCGCATACAACCGAGAACGCATTAATTTGGTAACAGCCACCGGTCAGCGTATACCCGTCCGTGGAGAGAAGGAGATGGAGTTGAAGCAAGGCAACGTGATCTACCTGCATAATGTCATCTTGGCTGATATAATGGACGACTACATCCTAGGCCTAGACTTTATGAGGAATAATTGTTGTGAGATCGACGTTAAGCAAGGTGTTTTGAAATGTGGACAGGAGGAACTTTTTATGGAAGGTGCGTTACCAGGGAACGTGTACAGCATCAAGAAGATTGTTCTTCCGCCGAGATCGGAAACGATTGTTCCGGTTAGTCTACCTCGAAACGCTGGGCAAGCTCACCGTTGTGTACTTGTGGAAAGGGTAAACAATGACCTTCCATGGAAAGTAGCTCGAACCTTGGTCAGGACCACTGACATCTCAGGAGTATGTGTGCTGAACCTTTGCGACCGGGAACAGATTATAGAAAAAGGCACACTGGTTGGTACTTGTGAGGAAGTGGATTGGTTACGTTAGTGCCAATATATATCGAGTGGGACCCCCAGCAAGGATTCAGAAACGAAGAAGTTGTTACTCGAGTACGCCGATGTATTCTCATCAAACGATGCTGACATAGGAAAGACTGGTTTAGTTCAACACAAAATAAACACAGGTGAAGAGTTGCCTATCCGTCAGCGGCCAAGACGATTGCCGGTAGCACGTGAAAAGGAAGTGGAAACCATGATTAAGGGAATGGTGAAGGATGGTGTTATTGAACCTTCATCTAGTCCATGGTGTTCACCCGTGGTACTGGTAAAGAAGAAGGACGGCAGCTTGCGGTTTTGTGTTGACTACCGCCGTCTGAACGACGTTACTAAGAAGGATAGCTATCCCTTGCCAAGAATTGACGACACGCTGGACATGCTTACAGGAGTAAAGTGGTTTAGCACGCTGGACCTAAAAAGTGGTTACTGGCAAGTTGAAATTGATCCTAAGGACAAGGAGAAAACTGCGTTCTCGACGGGAAAGGGTCTGTGGCAATTTAAAGTAATGCCGTTTGGGTTGTGCAATGCTCCAGCAACGTTTGAAAGGCTGATGGAACTTGTACTTACCGGGCTAATTGGCGACGCCTGTCTGGTCTACTTGGATGACATCATCATCGTGGGCCGTACGTTTGAGGAACACCTTAAAAACTTGGAACGCGTGCTCATGAAGATTAAGAGTGCCTACCTCAAGTTGAGTCCGAAGAAATGTTCACTATTCAAACGGCAAGTCAACTTTTTGGGGTATGTAGTGTCGGAAGAAGGTATCC